TAGAGGTCAAAGTTTAGATAAAAATATGAAGATGTGTATAGGGACAATTTAATCATCATTTATTGAGGAATTGTAACACAAAAGGTCATTATCATGACTACGGCTGTGACACATGTACTTAAGGTCAATATATGCAAGGTCAAAGTCACTAAAGATGGTGAAATATCCAGATTTTGTCTGGAGCATATCTCCTACATGTATGGAAGAATTTTTATAATACTTTATGAAAATGTTCACCACCATGATATGTATTGCTTCATGCATGATCCAGGTCTCCAGGTCAAAGGTCAAGGTCACACTTAGAGCTCATTGAAAAACGCTTGTCCGGAGCAAAACTTCTACATTCATAGGGGGATTTCAATATAACTTGGCACAAATGTTCACCATTGTGAGGCTGAGTGTCGCACGCAAAATTCAGATCCCTGCGACCAAAGTCAAGGTTACACATAGAGGTCAAAGTTCAGATAAAAATTTGAAGATGTGTATAGGGACCATTTAGTCATCATTTATTGATGGATTGTAGCACAAATGGTAACTATCATGACTACAGGTGTGACACATTTAATTTAGGTTAATATTTGCAAGGTCAAGGTCACTGGAGATGATTAAATATCCAGATGTTGTCCGGAGCATATTTTCTACATGCATGGAGGAATTTTAATGTTACTTTATAGAATTGTTCACCACCATGAGACGTAGTGCCCTGCACATGAACCAAGTCTCTGGGTCAAAGGTGAAGGTCACAGTTAGAGCTCATACAAAAACGCTTGTCTGGAGCAAAACTTCTACATGCATAGAGGGATTTCAATATAATTTGGCACATGTTCATCATTGTGAGGCTGAGTGCCGTGCATAAAATTCAGGTCCCTGCGAGCAAGGTCAAGGTCACACATCCTGTGCATCTCTTCCCTACTGATTTGTTTTAAGGTTCATTTAACAACACAGTGCCAAGAATAAAAACTTGCTTGTTAGATAACACTTATCCATAATGCCCCCATCTCCATCTAAAGCTTTCGTAAACAGGCGTATTTTGTGACTATGGCACCCTTGTTCAACTTAGAAATTAATGGTAAAGTTTTGCTTGTAAGCATGTTATCTACATAACTACTGAAGGGTTTGTGCCTTTTTTGGACAATTTTATGCATTCATGATAATAAAGCAGTGATTTACTTGATAAAACATCTTAATAAAAAGCCTTTGTACCTTTTCGGTCAGTTTTATGTATTCATAGGTAAGCATTATTATACTCAATAAACACCCTTGTGACAACTTTTTCGAATAGTCGAGCCTTACTGTCCTCAGACAGTTCTTGTGTTAGTATAATAATAACTGAGCAAAAGTTTGAAGGAGTTATATTTCACAAGGTATGCAAACAATAGCTGTTGGTAGGACAGCACACTCAACTATATGCTTAGTGCTTGACAATAGAAAAACCTTGGTTTTTTTAAAATATTCTAAGTTCACAAAAGGACCAAAATTTTTTTTAAACCCATTCTACAGATATAAGCATTGGAGAGAGTCCTAGCTAGTATGCTCGCAAAGAAATGTATAAAATTTCAATTTATTTCAAGCCAGATGTCTATGGAATACGAAAATATCTTGAAGCCATAGGCAATCTTTAACATATGGGTGCCTGATCGGGATCAAGTGTGCAAAGTTTCAATGCCATATGTCAATGGACTTCAGAAATATTTGAGGTGATAGAAGCCGACGTTCAGATGACTAGGATAATATTCTTCTTATTCTTATCGAATAATCGAGTAAACATGTGACTTCTGCTTTGAAAGAAGGAATGGCATCTGCTTGTAACAATAGACCACTATACAATTAAGTTTATTAACATAATGCGCCCCCAGCAGTGCTTTCAGCGCTTTGATTCTTAAGAAGGGCCAATTTTAATTGACCCATAATGGTTACTGCAGCTTTCCATACATAATTTGCACATTCTTTATTCAAATTAGACATATTTTGTGAGAATTTCATAGATTTCAATAAATTTCTAAAGATGTGCATATAATATCTTTAAATAAATTGTAGCATTGGGTGTACTAAACGCAGTGATCTCCCCTTCATTCAAAGTGTACTGATTTGGGGGAAAACCGCTCTGTGGCGACACAACTTTAAGCGTTGGACCTTTGACATCGGTTTTGATATAAAAGCGTTATATTGGATTCAGTGATGAAGCTTCGAGTCGAATCTCACATAATCCTTACCTAAGCAGTTATTTTGATCTTCGTCGAATTGATATGGGACGGGCGTACGACGTGACGACTTATGCTTAATATAAATATAGAAAAGTCATGTTAATGTTTTACTACAAGCATAAAAATGAAACTATTTGACTGTAAACTATTTGAATCTTTGAGTTGCGATCAATAGGATATCATTTTCTATTCGCATGACTTCATTAATAAATTTCTCGACTTCATTGAATAGAATATCATAAATATGATTTGATTTATTATAATTTTGTTCAATAAGCTCAATAAGTTAAGTAGGTAAATACACTTATTGACAATCCTCTACTTAAGTAGTAAAAGTTAATTTTAAGTGTTATTTAGGAAATTAATATCAATTATGAATGTATTGTTGTACAGCAATGCACCGTTCGAGTTCAAAATCACGAATTGTAATGACGGCTAATAAGCCAAGGTGATTAATAACAAAACATAATGCGTTATAATATACTAAATAAATATTTTATATCCATATATTGTACTACGCAAATCGCCTGATTTTATTCCATTTTAACATACAGAAATATGACTACTCGCGGAACAAACATGTATATGTTCATTTCATGTCCTTTTGCAACGATGGAATTAAAGTTGTATAAGTTTAAAACATCAGTCTTAAGGGGTTATTATCTCTTTTAATGATGCATATCATCTAATTTTAATTGTTATTATATAATATACATGTATTAATTTTCAATTGAATTTTAAATATTTAATGTATAATATAGTTACGAAAGCCTTATAGTGTCAAATAAAATAAAAAAATAAAAATGCAAAGGCGTTATAACGCGAATAAAGGCGTTATTACGCGAATCAAAAGGCGTAATTACGCAAATCAAAATGCGTAATAACGCGAAAAAAGAGTAGAAACGCGAATAAAGGCGTTATAACGCAAATCAAAAGGCGTCATTACGCGAATAAAGGGGTTATAACGCGAATCAAAACGCGTAATAACGCCTTTATTCGCGTTATAACGCGAACCAAAAGGCGTAATAACGCAAATCAAAATGCGTAGTAACGCGAATAAAGGCGTAGTAACGCGAACCAAACGCCGTAATAACGCAAATTAAAACGCATTATAATGCCAATTTTTTCCCCATATTTATACTTATCAAATGGCCTAGTAACTTGATAAATGAAGAACAATATTGATCTGAATTTATTGCTCAAGATAGAATAATATAATAAACATTTACAATAACTATCATTCCATTTGCGCAGTAATATTGCAAACTATTTGTCATAAACTAATGAAGACTCTTTGATATTTGTCAATATAAGGTGACTTGGAGACTTAAAGGTCCATTGGGTTATATGTCAATACAGTTACTCTGAATTCATGTATCACATCATTGATTTTACACATGTCACTATAGTACATGAATTTCTTTTCTTTTCTTATATCTTATCTTATCTTATTTTATATGTGCGTCATATGTTCAATTATCTACGGATATGTCCTGTATAATTACTTAATAACCTGTAGTATCTTTTAATTATGTGAATATAATAATAATAATAATGTCGTTCCTAATTACGCTATAGGTAATAGGCTAAAGGTAACAAGATTTGGAAAAACGTAAGATATACGTAAGTCACATTAGGGCGAAATTATCTCTAATTATTGATAGGTATGCTTAGAGGGGTTAAATTGTTTCTGTTAAGTTACAATTATAGGAGACATTGTTTTCTTTGTCTTTATCGAAAAGTATCTATAGTTGGGTGATAGTAACCTCTAATCTCACGAAAGCATTTCCTAAAAAATATTGAAAAAATCAGACTGTGGCCTTAGGACGTATCCGTACAGAATTGAAAATAAAACGTACATCTTGATCAATTCATTTAAATCAACATTGCTCTTCCTATCTTACATTACAAGGCCACGGTTTTGAACTTATATGGTATTAAATTAGCGTTATAACGCCTTTTGTTTTGCGTTATACCTTTTGGTTCGCGTTATTACGCCTTTAGGTTCGCGTTATAACGTCTTTATTCGCGTTATAACGCCTTTCAATTCGCGTTATTACGCCTTTTTTTCGCGTTATAATAAAGGCGTAATAACGCGAATTGAAAGTCGTAATAACGCGAATAAAGGCGTTATAATGCCAATCAAAAGGCGTAGTAACGCCTTTATTCGCGTTATAACGCGAACCAAAAGTCGTAATAACGCGAATCAAAGGCGTTATAACGCGAATAAAGGCGTTATAACGCGAATTGAAAGGCGTAATTACATACATTAAAAATATGTTATATAAGTGTTATGTTTAAGTATTCAATTTTCGTTTTAAAGCTAATGGCCAGCTTAAAATCCTTGGAACGGTTTGGGAAAGATGCATAAGTTCCAAATTATTGATTAGCCACTTTGCTGTGAGCATAAACACATATTTACCATTTTGTTTCATGATTAAATGATTCAACATAATTACGGTGTAATTTTTTTGACGACATTTTATTTCCAAAAAAAAAAAAAGGGAAAAAAAGATCAAGCCACCGTGTGCTGGATAGTGAAGCATCGTAATTTTAACTATTATAGACCTTTGCTATGACTGATTACAGCAGAAGGAATGTTTCATACAATGACAAACTAAAACTTTAGCCTTTAAATGGTCCCGATCCGCGAAAAGCTGCCCTGTCGTTATTGGCTGTCGTTTCACAAGATAAATATAAATTCTTTATTGCAATAGAAAGACATTCTTTATTGTAATGTATTTTGTTTATTAAAAATTCGGAACAAAGTGTGTTCACAATTTGCAAACCCAGTGTACTGACTGTTTTTATATAAAACGATAAAAATTTCATAAAAAGGAGAACGCAAATCAACTAAAATACATAATACATGTACCGGTATATTGTAAATTATGCACTGTTCTCAAACACTACAAATAAATCGCACCAACAGTGTATATAGCCCTAAATTCATCAACAGTCTAGTTTTTGCTAAAGTTAATGCTAAATGGTTATTGTTCTATTTGAAAAATATAATTCAAAGTACAACATGTAGTAATTAACTATCTAACAAAAGTTATATACATGTATATAGTCATCTTCATGACAACCAATAACCACATAACCTCTTTTGCTATTGACACCAACCGATAAGGGCTTTTTGATATTGCTAATAATTATCCTGTTTCTTCTGTAATCATCTTTTGAAATCTGATGTACATTGTAAGAGTCACGCCCGCACACATAAATATTACCTTCGTCGTCTGCTGTCAAATATGATATGAATTTTAAATAACTCCCATCACGGCTTTTATAGAACCAAGATTCCTGAACAACGTTTTCATTTTCACCGGCATAACCAGTAGTGCTGGCACTTTTGTAACAGTGAAGCTTTTCAAATTCTGAAACAATTATTGCAATAGCGCCCTTGTAAAGCAAACGTAGACATCCGTCCTCTCCAAACTTATAAGGGACGCCACATGAATTTTCAAAATTGACTGTCTTAAATATGCGACCCGTTCTCGCATTTCTAATTTGAATGAAAGGTTTATTGCTTTCCTCAAATAGAATAGCAATTTCCTGGACATCTCCAACTTTAGCAAGACTACATACATCAGTCTTTGTCAGAAAATGCCCTACTTTGTGAGCATTAGATGTTTCAATATCATACGTTTCGATTGACTTTTCAAAAGAAACTGCGACTGTCTTATCATTTACATGACACATGTAGAAAGGCACATTATGAAGACCTTTTGTAAATACTAGAGAAAAATGTTCTGTAAAGAGTTTTAGATTCGTGTTTGCTTTATCAATCATAATTAAACGTTCGTCAGGCAGAATTTCTAAAGCATAAATTTTACAACGTGCTTTATCTCCTGGGCATCGAACTTTATAAGAAACTCCCAGCTGATTTATGTTTCTTTTCATCAAACTGGGGATTTTCACATTTTCAGTAAGATGTTGTGTAATATTGGAACTGCTGGAGCCGCCACGTGTGTCCAAACTGCCAGTCTGCAAAGCCATTTCATCGGTTTGCGTCGTGGCATTACATTTTGATGGACCTAAATGCACCGATGATTCTGCCTTTTCTTCTAATGTATGAACTGGTCTAGGGATTTCGTCGCTGGACACACTTACATCAGTGTTTGCTCCTTGTTGTTCATTCAGAGATGCGGAAACCATTGATACGTTTGCAATATTTCCGATTGTTTCCATGTCAAGTGTTGTTTCAAAAATGAGTGACTTTTCTGTCATATTTTCTGCTTTGATTGTTTCGTACAAATCCTCCGCTCTGCTCAATATAAGATTAGGGATAACACTCCTCTCAACAGAGTTCCCAAATTTCATAACAAATTCAAATACCTTCCTAAATTCTTGTCCTTCGACACATGTTTCTTTACATTTCGTTAAATTCCTTTCATGATCATTTACTTCTTTTGTAACAAGATTAAGTGTTTCGGACTCAAGATTGGCCTTTGCTTGTGACAATTTTTCATAAATACTGCTGAGAAGACTTTGCTGTTGTAATTGCACTTTAGCCAGCTGATCCTTATAAGTGGATATATTCTCTTCTGATTCTCTTTTTGAAGCTGTTGCAGTGTCTTGTAGTTGAGATAATGTCTTTTCTACACGTGCATTCATGTTCTCATTTACAGGGGTTTTAGCTTTTGCGATTTCATTCACCGTATTACATTTACGGTGACACTCTGCCAAACACGTGACGCAAATATATTTTTCGTGATCTTCACATTTATACATCACAACAGTGTCGGGATGGTCTGGGCAATGCATCATCTTTTTCATTATCGCAATTGTTGTAAATTTATCTGAAATATCCTCACCTTCGAACAACTTATGATCCCTTGACAGTTTATTCTTTCTATGTTCACGAGCACAACTAGCACATAAATGCTCGGAACAATCCATACAAAAAGTACTTGCTTCTTTTTCAATGTTTTCAAAGAGACAAGGTTCACACTTGAAATTCGTATTTATTCTCGAAGTTTCTTCTTTACTGTCATGAAGCCCCCCAACTGCTCCCAACTCTTCAAACGGTTTATCAGTCATATTTGTGCCACAGATATTTGGAGTATAGACTCTGCCCTTCTCCGCCCCTGAAAATAAAAAAAACTAAGTCTTATCTATTACAAGAATTAGTTTTTAATTTTTGCTTATATTAGTATGAGACGGTTAAGTGTCTAACACGTGAACAACAATTTCATAACGTTTTAAAAATGTCAATTTTTTACCAATGCTTCAATTTCCTAAAGATCCCAAGCTTCGAAATGTAAACACAACTGTCGAACTGACCTACATATATTTCAAGTATTTATGTTATCACATGCCATTTATTTCTGGTTTAAATCAGTCGATGCATATATTCTTTTAATAATTAAATGCATGTTATTATCCGATCGTACCTTTCTTCCAAGCTTTGCACATTTAATTACAAATTACATTTTCCTAACCGTGTCACATGCTTCTTTACGAATTCATGACGACTGAAATGTTTGCGGATAAAGAAATTCAATCGCAACTACTCGGCCCTTTCCGTCAGTCTTGTGTACTGATTAGGGGAAGTAACCGCTGCGGGATTTTGGCTCTCGGCATAAATGAAAGCGCAAAACAGTGTCGAAACTCATTCCAGTCGTCTCACATCAAAGGAAAGCGTACATTGTTATCTTTATGAAATAATGATATTTTAGGGACCTTTTTTAAAAATAGCAGAAAACAAGCTTTATGTTCAAGACGTGACCAGGTCGTAATAATATGCAAATATATTTTGACATACGGTTTGCACGATAAAAATAGACATGGTGTATTCAAGTGCGGATCAAGAAGGGGAGCCACGCACATAACCCCAAGTGTCTGTGATTTGTGCTAGTCATTGAAATTCAATGTCATACAAAACAGTTAATATCCAAACACTATTTCACTTAAAATATCCGAATCATCAATTTATATGGCGTATACAGCCACTTTATGACACAGTTTTAACCGATCGTTATGTGTACGGTTAGAGATATCGTTTTACATGTTGTAAATGTTGTAAATACGGTGTCCTTAAAGTGCTATCAACACATAGCAAACACATATTATGTACACTGTTTTTGCAAACAAGAAATGCACAGCCGTGGTAAACCTAGTTTAAACATGTTAATTATTTCGTGTCTCGTCTTAATAAGTATGCGGTATTTCTTACAGATTATCATTTATCAATAAAGTACATGTGCCAATAAGAAATAAGACATTTAAAATTTGATTATACTATGTCAAAAATATGTACAAGATTTTAGCCCTGAGAATAAGTTTATTATGATGCATATTTTTGCTTACCAAATGAATACAAAATGACATTTTTTTTGTGTGGATATGACGGTAACGAAAGCGTTGATCAGTAGAAATATTTTGTGATATGTTCATTAGCTACAGAAAAGTATAAGTGATACTTTCACTGTGAAACAGTCAAAATAAAAAATACACTTAATGATTTTTTTAGGTTGATATTTCATAGTATAATATATCCACAGTCTTAAAGATATCACAATAAACAAACATAATGAATCAGTGTACAATTATAAAAAGTTTTGAAATCTATGTGTTGTACACTTTATGCCTCAGAAACAAATCAATGTTTACTTCTTTAGAAAGGATAACATATATTCTATAATGATTAAATAGCGGTTTTTGAGAAAGGTTTAGATAGATTTTTGTTACCTGAAAAAAGTAACGGTAAATGTGAATTATTTGTCATAAAAGTAGCAAAATGTAAACAAAGTAGCATTTTTACCTCCATATCAAATATGAATTTACTAAACTTATTGCCCAAACGCAACATATGAAAAAGATGGTTCTGGTAATTGCCCAATGGTTAACGCTTCGGATACATTAAAAGTACACCAAATGAAAAAAAAACGTTTTTGAGAAATATAAATAAAAGCATTTCAGAGGCATAATCGGCCTTTAACAGCATTTTGTGGACCCTCCCCTGACTTGATATTTTAGCACTGAATTGAATCACGAGTAATTATTATTATTGTCAGAACAGAACCGAACAAATGATAATATTGATCCTAATATTAGTAACCCTACTTTCGAAGAGCTTAATATTCCCATATCTTGCGAAGAAGTTAGAGATGCGGTGAAGCGATTAAACCGCAACAAAGCGTCTTGTCCAAGTTATAACTTGTTGAACGAATACTTTATATTTTCTATTGATATATTAGTAGGCCATATCACTGATCTTTTTAACAGAGTTTTTGATGCAGGCTATTTTCCAGAAATATTATGGTCTGAAGGCTTTATTATACCTCTTCATAAAAAAGGTGATCATACTAATGTTAATAATTATCGTGGCATCACATTACTAAGTAACTTTGGAA